TAGTTAAATTGTATTTTCTTAAAATAAATTATAAATTATTGTTAAACTTTCATTATTTATTTAAACGAATTTGTATACTCCGGTTATAAAAGCATTTGTTGTAAAGTTAAGTAACTTGCTCCTCGTCGTTATTAATTTCCAAACTGTCAAACCTCATAATATTTTGTTATGATCTATGGTTGGTGTAGTTAACTTCAATTCTTATAATAATAATATATACTTTATTTAATTCATAATTACTCAACGCCCCTAAGGCGTAGCTAGAGTAGGGTAGGGGAAATCCCCTCCCCCTAAGAATTTATCTGTTCGCGCAAATATCATTTTAGGCTAATCAGAATTTTTCCCCTACCACCAACCCCCCCACAGCTCTGTCTCCCATACGATTATATTATTACGAAGAAGAATTTGAATATAAATTTGGTAAAGGTTAGTGCTGTAAAAAAAACATCTAGTATCTACATTTTTTATCCATAAAAATTCCAATCCTCTATAGTTAGGTTACTCTATAGTCCTTCAACAATCGATCCTATTCGAAATCCAATCCAACAGTTCTTGGGACTCAGGCAGACATTTCTCGGGCTTGGTCGGAATTCGAAATTTATGATGGATTAGAAAAGATTTGAATCATCTCGACAAAAATTTTAAAAATTATTTCATCTTAAATATCATTTTAATAATAAAAAAACGCAAATTATATATTTATTTTCCTCCCGTAAAATACCCTATTTTTTAAAAAAGTGAAATATATTTTTTTTAAATCGAATTGAAAGGGGGATATTTGAACTTATAATCATGGACCTAATTCTCTATAATTTTTCATTTCAAATGAGCGAATTCTTTAACAACATGTCATTTCCGAATTTCTCGTCTCTATTTGGGGTTAAAACATCTTAAAAATACCATTTTTTCCCCATTTTTTTTATCCCCAGGTGAATTCGATATTTTATTATAATTTTAAATAAATTATTTTATCAACAAATACAGATTTACTATATTACTCATTGTATATTTGATTTATTTTAATTTAATCAACGTTACATATAATAAGAATATTATATCTTTTAAAGAATATATGTAATTTTGATAAATATTTCTAAAAATTTGAAATTGCCATTTCTTGGTTCTAAGGGATTAAAATATTCGATAAATATAATAATATAAGCAATGTATCAATTACATACAATATACAAATTATCAATTCAATATAAAGCGCTTAAAGGCTTAATATATAAATTATAAAATTGCATATATGTTAAACTATTTTACATATATTTCTTAGGTGTAAATCAAAAATCATAATAGATATGCACCAATTGTATCACCATTTAAAAAAAACATATATAATGCTAATATTAATTATAACCCCATTTCTACAATAAAGTCTAAATATTTGTCTCAGGGAATAGTTAATAATCATGGCTCTAACGACCAAATCTACGGTGTCCACCAAATCTACGCGGTCCACCAAATCCACCGTGTCCACCAAATACACCGATTCCACCAAAACCGGGAGGCCTACCAGATCCACCATGCCCACCAAATCCTCTGTGTCCTCCTAAAATAAAACATTAAATTAGAGATCGACGTGGGCCAGCATGGCTCAAACCAGCCCCATGGCATTTTTATCGGGGTTTCCCCTCGTCACATATAATTATTTTTGCCCTTAAAATATTTTGCACCGATTTATTCAACCAGCCACAAAATATTTGCCTTTGGGCTTCGGGGTAGGTTTAGACCACCTTTATACAATAAATTATATATCATATATAATAATATTTATAATTGTCAATTCGAACCGTGTCCTATATGCCCACCGTATCCGCCTCCTCTATGTCCACCGTATCCGCCTCCTCTATGTCCACCTCCGCCTCCTCTACCCCAATGAGCCATCGAGGACAATATCATTAACGCGAAAGTAAGAAGGAATAATATTTCCATTTTTTTTTTAAATCGTAATTTTATTTGAAAAATGAATAATTTTTTTATTTTTTTTTAAATAATTTATAAAGTTAAATTTTTTTTTTTAAATAAAAAAAATTATTCTCGAATCATCGAATCAAAATCTTAGTGGCATTAATTTCTTTAAGCAAATACCCATTTTTGCCAAATAAAAATACTTATAAAACTCTTTCTCTCTTAAAAAATGCATGAGTCAAAACAAATAAAATATTTGGGTCTTATTCAAAAAAATTCAAAATTTTTGTAAACGATATTTTTTGTAATTTATACTCACATAAAAATTATTATAATTAAGGAAATTTATGAAGAGTTATATAATTAAAATCGGTTACTGATCAAATTTTTTTTAAAAATATGAAACTTGGAAGAAAAAAAAATTTTCTATTTTTCTATGTATTAAAAAGTGTTTCTAAACATTGAACCCAGTTAAATAAGCACAGACAACCCTTTTTACTTAGGAACTATGGTATTTTTTAGACATCGCCGTTTCAAACTCTAAAATAATAGTTTAGGATCATGATATCACACTTTATTCTTCCGTTAAATCGAAACAAGCTTAGATCCAGAAAGCATAAAAAACTCTAGCGATCTGTCTCTACTAAAGCAAACTATTGTACATCATAAGTCTCCCTCATCCGCACAATACTGAGAAAGGCTCTAATCATTCCCAACTTATCCTTGATATAAGGGGGGAGACCGGGTAAACGATTGAGAGGTTAACCATGTTAAATGCAAATAACTTTTTTTAATATGTATTTTTATTAGTATTGTATAAAGAATATCGATGAAAGTAGCTTCGCTAACGGTGCTACTAACAGCTTTACTAACAGCACAACCATTCCACCGAGATCTCGGAATCTGATAAAATATTAAAATAAGCCTTTACTATCAAACCATAATTTTATATTTGTTAATCAGCATGACCCTTTGTAATTTTTAAGGACGCGTTCCTGTTTGCGTAAAATAATTATTAGGGAATTAAATTTCCCACACTGCTAGAATAGCTGTGGGAAAGCTGATTAGAAATAAGCCGGTCAAATGTAATCTCAATACATGGTTGCATGCTCATTAGGTATTTTTTTTTGTAAATGTTTTTTCTTGCATATATATATATTTTTTAGTTTATGATTTATACTTTTATATGTATTTTTATTTTAAATGTTGTAAAAATTCTAAAAATAAATAAAAGTAAATGTGCAACCATTTTACGCGGTTTTTTTATATATAATATTTTGAAAAAAAATTTTGGTAACTAGTAAAGCGTTACTTTTTCAAAAAGTAACGAGTAACGCCTGAAATAACATTTACGGCAATAATTTTTATATCTAAATTTTTTTTACATATGTTCATCTATTGAAAAACTTTCCTCGTTTAAAATATTTTGTCTTAAAAACCCGTTTTTTTTATCTAAAAATTATTTAAAAAATTACTTAGTAGGCACACTCAAAATGGGATAATTTTGATTTTTCGAAAAAAAAATTTCATTCTGGTATTTTTGATTAGCTAATTTCTTAAAAATGATGAATAGATGCCAAAATTGAGAAATTTGTTCAATAAAACCGATTAAATTATGTTCGACTTTATTTTATAACCATTATACCCTTAATGCACAGCCATTTTACCCTGGATATGTGATAAATTGGCAAAAATGGCACCAACTTTACATAATTAATCATAACTCTTAAAGTAAGGTAATAGTTACAGTATTTTTTTCTATTTTGTAGATGAAGGAGTATTGACTGCCAAATAAATCTATAATTTTATTTTATTTTATTCTGAATATATTTTTGTTACAAACATTTTATGGTTAAAAAAAATGAAAAATGTCAATCATTTTTACCCTTGTCCCTCATATTTAACTAGATACGCCAAAAATTTACTTATAATTATATTGAAATATTGGCGTACAAGGTACACGACAATAAATTTCTACTAGCAAATGATATACTAATTTTTCCCCAAAATAAGATGGATTATGATGAGGTTTCTCGCTGAGTTTGGAAGGAACTAAAATCAAAAATCAAAAATCAAAGAGAAGGAATAAACTTTTATAAGATCCTCAGCTTCATTTTTCAATTACCTTAATAACGAAAGTAGATATTATGTATTTAATATTTTATGACTTAAGAACTTTTATATTCAATTTTGATTTCTCTTTTTTTTCTTTGAAAAAATATAAGCTAGCGAACAAATCATATACCATGGTATATCTTAAGGCACCTCCATTTCAGCGGGTAGTTCAAAAAAAACTAAAAGGTAAACACTCACTCTAGACACTCGAGGAAAACTTTTTCCGTGGGAACCTTTAGATCCAAACTATATTCTTATCAATATCATATAAAAACTTAATCATTTATATATGCTTAACTACAGCAGTATCATTTTCTTTTTTCAACCATCTTATTCGGTCGAATTGTACCAGGTCTTTTTATAAAAATTCAACACAGTGTAAAATGGTCTTTTTTTATTACAGATATTTTTTTGTAAACATCATTATAGGGAACATTCCTGTGTGACACCTGTCAATATTTGCTGAACGATGTTCTTAGTCTTATTTCCCCGTTCACCCATTTTCATCATAGCCATAATAACTTAACTCCTATTTAACTTATCAAAGTTTACTCACCTGACTTTAAAATAAAATAATTTATTGTATGAAATTTCGGTTTAAATTAATGCCTTTAAACCTTACTATTTATTGATCCAGGTCTAGCTTTTACAATTAAGGGTTCATTTTTTTACGTCAATATTCTATATTTTTACCTCCACATTGTGTAAATCTTTTTAAAATTACAAGTATTTTTAAATAAGAAACTCGTTGATTCAATATTCTTCTTTTTACCTTAAAAAATTCCTTTAATGATAATTATTTATCGGTAACTTAAATTCCCTTTCCGATGGTTTTGTAAATTTTAATAATAAATTAGTTATACCAAAATAACTAAATTTAATTATTATTATAATATACAATATTATTATTGGTATATGATGCTAACACAGATACATTTTTTTTTATTATTGTAAATTATAAATGCAAAAGTCGGAAATATAATTTGATTTGTATATAAAATATTTTTAACTAATATTATAATATAAAAAATTAAAAAAATCTTGAAAAGGTTTTGAATATTTCTGATTTGAATTGTAATTGTTAGGTTTTCCTGTATGACAATAATGAATAAACAATTAAATATACTTAATAAATATTATAGATTATTAATATTGTATTTTAAATTAAGTATTCAAAGTTGTAGAGAAAAGATAAAGGATAGTTCTTAAAAAAGGAGGTTTGATACATAAGTATATACTTAGAGAATTTAAACTGAATATTTTCTCTTCATTTTTAAAAATTTTTAATCTAAATCATAACAGGTCAAGCCTTGCGACCAAGAAAGATTTTAAATATAGTATAAAACTGATGCTTACATTTATGATCAGTATATTCGTCATTTATAGGGCGTTAAGATGAAGTGACGTTTAACCAAGACCAGAGCCAACTCTACCACCTCCTCCACGTGGTCCGACACATCCACCCCTTCCGCCAAATCCACCTCGTCCACCAAATCCTCGCCCGCCAAATCCACCTCGCCCGCCAAACCTTCCTCGTCCACCAAATCCATGACCTCCTAAAATGAAGCAACAAATGGTATATATATATATGAGTGCTAAGTTTTCTTTGGAATAACAAACTTATCCAGAGGAATCAATTAAGAATCCGAAATCTCCATTTTTAAGTTATCTATACGAGGGACTATTTTTTAAATTTGCAACCGGAAATGAGCTTATGGATTGCCGTATGAATTTAAAAAAAAACAATTCTTATACTTTGTCCTATTTTTATTTTTAATATAAAATTTTAAATAGTTCAATAAATGGGAAACAAACCACCACTAACCCATCCGAGATTCATACGGGCTGATTTTTTTAAATTTAAAAATCGCTTCCTTAAAATGATTTAAATCGAACGATTCCCATTCTTAGCATCGTTCTGGATAAATCCTATCATATTATGGGTTAATGATGCTTGGTACCTTAAGGTACCATCTATCAAATTTGAATTTTGTTAATTTTTCATTTGGATAGGCACTACCAAATATATTTATAATATATATTTGAAAAATCTTGATTTTTGGAAAGCCTCTATGGCCTAGTAGGTTAGAGCTTGGCTTACTTATCCTTTGCTCCCGGGTTCGAATCCCTGGAATGATCATGTTTTTTTTCTTATTCTAACTTGGTGGTTCCATCCTTGGGGGGATGATATATAGAAGGCCGGACTCGACCACGTGATTCCGTATTAATATATTAAATAATAAGGGTCTTATTACATTTTAATAAATTTTGATCGGTATTTAGCAAATTAGATTGGTATTTAAAATATTTCCATACATTCACTTGGTAGTAAGCATCATTAACCCATATTATGGCATTCTGTTTCAGAAATTTTTAAAACGTAATAGTAATACCTCTACGTCCACCGAATCCGCCTCCACCACGCCTATGCGCCATCGAAACGAATATCATTAACGCCAAACTGAAAAGGAATAATATATTCATTTTTTTTATGAAAAAAATAATTGTAATTTGAAAAAATTTTGTGTCAAAGAGAAAATTAAAATAATTTTTTATCCTTTATAAGGGTCCACTCAAATATAGATATATATATATTTTTTTTAATCATCATCTACCCGTTGTAACATTTTATTTGTTCACAAATATTTATAAATTGTTTAAAAAAAAAAATTAAATGCAAATAAAATTCTTTAAAATAAATATTTCGTACCAAAAAATTTGTTAATTCCTAAAATTTTACGTCAATCGATAGCAAATAAAAAAAAATTTTACAGGCTACGATTTTAAAGAGATATAGTAAAAAAAAATAATTTTATATTTTCCCTTAAAAAATATATATTTTATTCGAGTGTTTTTTTTAAACATAATATAAAAAGCAATTATAATGTAAATATTGATATTTTAAAATTTAAAAAATTAAGAAGTGACTTTTTTTATCTTTTTTTTTATTTTGATTCAAGATGATTATTAAACTTAATTTTCCAACTTTTGATATGTGTTGTGTTTGTTAATAGTTTGGATGGACGTATTTCCGCTATTGTTTTAAAGAGTCGTACGTCAAAATATATTCTATCAACGCAGAGAACAAATTATTTAGAGAAACTATTATATGGGTACTCTGAGTTTCTTTAAAATGAGCTTAAACCAAGAACCCTATTTAAAAACAGAGACCGATTTATGGGTAACCTTAAATCCGGGGAAGCATGGACCTGGGGCTGATTCTAACTCTATTAGAAAATCTCATTTCGATTAAGTTCCTGTTATCAATGCGCTAAATAGAGTTTAAGATTCTTGAACTCGACGGGTCCAGAATCCTGGCTCAAACTTATAGAAAACTTTAATTAAACTTAACTGAACCTGAAATATTAAAAATTTTTGATCTTGTGACCTACACCAAACCTATATATCAAAAGATATGATATTCTGATAACATATTATAACGTATATAATGTGAATAGGTTTTGATATTGATATATACTGTAACAAAGAATTGGTCGTCTATATGGGTTTTTTTTTAAAAATAATTAATAGGTCTGGTACCGTTTTCCATTTAATATAAGCTTTATGCTTAATAAAGAGGATGTTGAAATTGGCGTTTTTCTTTGACTATTTTGACGAAACTTCAGTTTTGATGTCGATTAAATTCATTTTTCGGTTAAGGAAAAATATAATAAACTTCTTGGACGAGAGGATATAGTTCTAGAGAGATAAGGGGTATAGTTAGACTTGTGCGCCGCTGACAATTTTATTCACGCTGAAACAGCCGCCGATTGAGATAATCGGCGCGAGCCTGCTCACCGCCGATTTTTATGGCGGCAGCGCGGCGCTTATAATTTTTAGAATACTGTTTAATAAAATTTATATATTAAATTATTATTATTATTTAAATTTGAATATTAACATTAATAAAGTAAATTTACTTTGAAATAAAATCGAGAAAAGAAATAATATTCAAATCGACTTTTAAACAGAAAAACGAAACGAATTGATATATTATTTGAGTAAAGACGATGTAAAAGAATAGTATAGAAAAGTATAGAAAAGTATATATATTCGAGGATATTTTACTTGTTGAATAAATTATTATTTTGTTAAACATAATTTTTAATTATTTTAATTTTAATTTTTCTTATATTATTTTATTTTGCTGTTTTAATTTTTGATTTATTTAATTACAATTTATATTAATTAATAAAGTATTAGTAGTTAATTTATTTAAGCTATTTATTTGTATTATCTAAATAATCACATCTAAAAAAATTTAAAATATGAATTGTATTCTATTGCTATATATAATAGAATAATGTGCATCATTTTCATTCATTCCTAACATCATATTTCATTTCCACAAACAATACATATTATTTATTTTTATGGACTTGCACATTTTAAACCACCCTATATACAATTAAATAACAACTCTCTCTACTAATCATAAATCAAGTTATGTCTGGAGGTACTTTGGAAATCTTATTTTGAAGAATGAAAATAAGAAAAGCACAATAATGCCTGTTTATATTTATTGTAAACCTTGCTTGAAATTGAGGAAAAAAGATGAGGAAGATTCGGATAAATATAATCCATTTTATTGATATTCTCATTAAAAAATTAGAGATATTATTTCAGCCCTCAGATATCGAGTAGCTGATTTGGAATGTGAAATTGAGGAAGAGCATCGTAAATGTCTGCAGTCAATTTATGAGACAGGTCATATCTTGGATATCGATGATTCTGATCTAAACTTTGATGACCATTTTGATATGTCTAATGAATATGATAATAGAAATGGCATTGCACCAACCAACCTAATTAATACAAAAACTTTAAAATTAAATTACCCTACCTGCTGGCACCGCATGGTGATTATGCTAGAAAGTGTTCGCAGGGTAAACAAAATTACTGTAAATAATGTTCTAAATAAAATAGGAAAACAATCTTTAAAACTCTTTAATAATGAATGGGATATGATTCGAGAGTATTGAATCCCCAAGAGTCGGTGGAATTTCTTTCCTCCCAAAAGGGATCGATAATAAACTTAGGGTTATTATTACGCAGTGAAATAGAAACCCTACAAAGCAATAGATCTGATTGCTCAGATATTATTTCCTTAAAAGAAAATATCAAACAAAAAAGCTTGACCAAAGATTTCCCATTACAAAATTTCAAGTTATTTTATATTTTTATTGATAAAATTATATTTAAACATTAGATATTAGCGACTCTATTTGATCCCAGATTTTCAAAATCTTAAAATTGTTTAGGAATATTTAAATTCGAATTTTACGACATCATTGCAATTTTTAATTATACATTAAAAAATTTTAGAGCATGATAGAAATGTATAGAATGAGAATCAAGTTGAAGATAATGGGCAAGCATAGTTCTTATATAACTAAAATACGTAAACATTCCCTTCCAGGCAACGATTATAACAACATTAGTAATCTTGAACAAGAATGCCATATTTTGCGCAGCCAACATAATCCCAGAAGAGGATGCACATTAATCTTTCGGAAGAAAAAGCAACGGGAACTTCCTAGTCTTGCTCATTTAGCTAGAAAGGTTCTTTGTATACCTGAAACCAGTACACCCAGAGAAAGAATTTCCTCCATTGCTGGTTTAATACTCAATACAAAAAGCAATTCTTTATGTCCTATGAATCTTGATAAAATACTATTTATTCATGACAATTATAATTTTGCTGAGTCTGAATTCTGATTTATTATATTTCATACTTTACATTTTGCTTGCATTCCAAATTTATATTTTAATTTGTTATAATAAAAATCAATAGAATATTACTAATATGTGTTGACTCTGATCTGAGTAAAAATGCAATTCCATAATCTATTTCTGAGAATGAGAATTTCATTTAAATTCGAGTGAGACGGGAAATAATTTAAGAAATGAATTAAACTTCGAAAAGAGCGCCCAAATAAATTATAAAAAAAAATGTAATACTTTGATTTATAAATTAAAAATTTTTTTAAATAGAATCGCGCCGCCACCGCCGACAATTTAGTAGGCGGCGGCGGAATCGGCGCGTCGCCAAACGCCGATGAAAAAATTTTAAAGAAACGCCGCCGTCAAATGAGACATCGGCGCACTGGTCTAGGTATAGTTTTAGTATACACCGTTAAAACTTTAAAAATTTGGGAACTTTGGATTTATAAACTATCCATTAGAAAAATGATCAAAAAATTGCAAATATGGTTTTAAATAAATGGGTACGTGTTAAAGTTTGACCTCGCTTTTCTATATAAATGCTCCTCTCAATCACATACGCTTCGATATGGACCCTAGCCTAGATTGAGCGTATGTGGCATTATAATATTTATTTATTTAAATGGTTATCGAAAATTCTGAACGTGGGGTTTAGAAAACGATATTTCCAACTTTCGAATCGTACCCCTGAAGCTACTAGCCTAGCAAGAGCATGCGGCTTCAATCCCACAAATGTCAATCAATTTTGTGAAAATTTAATGAAGCTATATAATTCTTATAACTTTAAACCACATAATATATGGAATGCAGATGAAAATGGTTTCACCACCGTTCAAACTCCTGCAAGAGTTATAGCATAGAAGGGTGCCAAACAAGTAGGCTCTGTAACGTCAGGAGAAAGTGGAACGTTAGTTACAATATGTTTAGCCATCAATGCTATAGGACATAGCTTTCCACCATTTTTTATTTTTCCAAGAAAACGATACAAAGATCACTTTATTCGTGATGGGCTTATTGGATCTAAAGGTGTGGGAAACGCATCGGGTTGGATGCAAGAGGAGGAATTTTTATCTTTTTTGGAACACTTTAAAAAATATTCTAGTGCATCCAATGAGAAAAATGTCTTATTAATCTTAGATAACCATCCTCTCATTGCTCAATTTCCGTTATAAATTATTGTCTCTCCGATGGGATCGTTTCTAACACTCCACTGCATTGTTGGCATAAAATCCAACCATGAGACAAAGCATAAGCTAGCATTTGAATTATTACAGGATATAATCTTGATCTGTAAATATATTTGGGTTTAAAGGATATATGCCACAAGCTAAGAATCTATTTAATATATTATTTGGTGTCACTGTCCTCGGTATTTCATTTTTTAAGACTCCTGGAATAACATAAATCTGAAATTGTTGCCACACATGATTTTTCATCCATGTATCAATAGCTCCATTATAACACTTTTTCAATGGCCCATAAACTGCTTTGTCTAATTGTTGGAGTTTATGCCAGCAATGCGGTGGAAGTGTTAAAAAAACGATCCCATTGGAGCGACAATAGTTTATAACGGAAATTGAGCAATTAGAGGTATGGTTATCTAAAATTAACAAGACTTTTTTCTCATTGGATGCGCTAGAATATTTTTTAAAGTGTTCCAAAAAACATAAAAATTCCTCCTCTTGCATCCAACCAGATGCGTTTCCAACACCCTTAGATCCAACAGGTCATCACGAATAAAGTGATCCTTGTATTGTTTTCTTTGAAATATGAAAAATGGTGGAATGTTATGGCCTATA